AGGGAGGATCGGGGGCTCCAACTAAAGGCCGATGAACTGGGTTTGACAGATTGGTTAAACATGGGCTTGCCGACGGAGCAGAAGTGACGCTTCGCGTTCGCATGTGACTTGAAACTAGAACATAAACTCCTTGAAAGCATGGTGGGATGGGGTCCAGAATTGAGGGGTCAAAAACGGAGGGAACAATACTGATGTTAGAACTGGACAATAAAGATAAAAAGTGTCAAAGGATGAATAAAAAACGGAAGGCTTGAGCAATAGCATCCAAACCCCTATCCACCCTGCTCGATGCAGCAGAGAGGGCGCCGTTGATAATCATTTGCAGTGGCCAGAGCATCAAGAGATTGTTTGAACTGAGAGCCATTGTGTTGTATTGCGTGGCAGGACACTGCCAAGTTTCCCGGGCCTAGACAATGGAGCAAATAGGGTTCTTAACCAAAGCCTTTATTTCAAAAACCTGACCGCAAGGCAGCGGGTTTGGCACTGGAATGCAAGCAGCCCGTTTTAAGGAATAAGGAGCCACCCTCATTCCAGCCTGCAACTCGGAGGTCCAGGTGACGGAGTTTATCTGGCCTCTAACCATTGACCAATCCGGTTTGTGTGACTCTGAAGGTGCAAAAATGCACCCAGCAAAGCTGAATGGATCTCTGAGGCACGCAAATCATCATACCATGGTAAGGTCCAGCCTCATACCACTGTGCAGACACTCAATAAAATTTACAAACTTTCTCGGACAACCAAACGTACCCAACACTAGCCACCAAACGCTCGATGAAATCAGCAAAAAGCGAGTACAACGCTTGGTGTCGTTCTCTACGCTTCTTCTGCAACTGTCGTACTGCGAACCTAACGGAATCCACATTGCTCTTCCGCCACAACCTGCGTGACGAGGCGGTTGAACAGGAATCGGGCAATCACCTTGGCCCCACAACTCAGGTAGTTGATACCACGATAATTCGTTACACATTGCTTAATTCCTTTCCCCTTGTACAGTGGTAGCACAAGAGCATCACTCAGCTCAGAAGTCACCTCCTCCTCAATTCACACTCGTTGCACCAAGTGGTGCAGCGCACTCACCAACACAGGTCCGCCGTGTTTCAATACTTCAGGCGGGATCCCTTCGGCATCGGCACACCTGCCTTTTTTGCAGCTGAGCAAGTGCTCTCTGCGTCCCACCCATTGTCGGTGTGTCCCCCAGGCTCACCTTTACCTCGTGTTACTTCAGGCCGTTCAAAGTAGGGCAGTCGATCTCGGAACGGTTGTTCAAGAGACAGTCAAGGTGCCTCTGTCATATCTACCTTATGCCTGCATTCTGTGTGCAGGCAGCGCCAGAGGTACCATCGAGTAGCGTCCTCAGCGGCTTCAACCTCGGTCCATACACCGCCTTCAAGGAGTGAAAGAATTCCTTGTGTTGGCGGCGTTCAGCGTAGCATTTCATCTGCTTCTCCGTCCACTATGCATTTTTAATTACGCGGAGCTCTCAAGTCAGTCGCCGTCGAAATTTGCGAGGCTTACTCTTCTTACCCAATTCTTTGTGCTCTGCGACATGTGCAGCAAACGGTGCATCCTTCTCCGACACCAAGACGCCAATCGTCGCATTGCTCTCTTTATTCCTGATATATATATATATATATATATATATATAATTGAGCACATCAATATATGTATATATCTTTATATAGTGCGCAATATGTGATTCATATATTGTGCCGCCAGATTCATGGCTTAATGTGAAAACAGAATTGGGATGCGCTAAGTAATGACAATCTTTTTGTTCAATTTTCCCCTCACAGCATTTAGATATTGTTGCTTGCTTTTTGGGGGAAGGTAATTGGAATCATTACATCACATAGAGATACACAGCAGCCATTAAAATCGGTCTTGTGCCATAACTTCCAGTCAGCGACACTTTACATCTCTGGGACGCCAACAAGAGTCCAGAACATCCGACCAACGCCAAGTGTTTCGTTAGATTTTCTATGCCGCTTCTCTTAGTTGTAGACCGCTAACTCCAGCTCTGTTCCACGACCACAAACGAAGCGCAGTGCAGAAAACGTTGAAACACGTCCAAGCGTCGCGTTTGATGCAGTGAGATGAGGTTTTTGAGCGGGTAGCTGTCTACAGCCGAGATACGCTGTTCAACTTCCACATGGCTTAGGTGGTGCAGCCATCTTATGTGGGCAATGGACCGCAAACAGCAGTGCTCGTAAACGGACAGTCGGCGCATGTCGACGATCAGGTCTCGCACTTGTTGGCCATGGTCAGAAGCTGCGCCAAGCAGTGTTGCCAGGGAGGCTTTGCACTTGATTAAGTTTATATGGTTTCCTACATTCACAACGCTCTATGGTTATGTGCACGTCTGTGCTATTCTGTGAAACCTTTGCAAACCAATGCGTGATCGGAGTCCAGACAAGTTGACAAGTACGACTGGAAGTCCTTTACGCTTTCGCGTCATCTATACTTTTTCTGCTATGTGGTCAAGGTGGAACCACTCTTGAGATAGCGGGTGCCTGGTATCGCTTTGTCTCTTCAAATGCCGAAATCTGTTGCACGAAATTAACAAGCGTTGGTCAAAGAGAAGAAGCGGATGCCTGTCTTTATCTGATTGACTGCTATCGATGCCAAAACGACCCCTAAGATGATGCTTGGTGGGTACCCCTCCACTCCCATGTTAAAATCTCCCCCAAGGATGACAACATAAATTGTTGTGGCGGGGACGCAGTTGTTGGTGAAAGATCTATTTGAAACTATTCACACTGCAGTCTATGGGAGCGTACGCAGAGATGATAAGTAACGCACGGTTAACAAATCGGCTCGCTTACACTACATGAACCACATAGTCTGACTGCTGACAGTTGACAGGAATCCAGTCAAGCAGAGCGGTCTCAGCTCTGGCGCTCAGTGTGACCCATAAAATTAATCTGGTCAGAAGCGGCAGTGTGTAGGTTTCTCTGGAAGTGTGCGAGTGGTAGTTGAGTTCAGGGTTTTCTAGAGAGGTCCTGGTTACGGCGCTAGAGTCATGCAATCTGGCTTCTGAAAGGCAACAGGTGCCTATCGAGAGCGTCTCAGGAGTACTGACCAGACATGCCAGTCGCCCGATGTGCATCAGGTTGTGAACACCGAACGCTGCTAGACCGAAAAGAGAACCAGGTCGGCATCGGTGTAGTATGAGACGGCTGTGAACGCCTAACACCGAACACCAGGTGTTTGTTATTTCCATCAGTTGGGACTAGTGAGCCGTTTGTGATGGTGACCGGGGAGGACATCATAAGGACACGTTTAGTTGAACACTTGAACGTGCGGCGATCAGCGAGTGGAGGTTGAGCAATGAACTCAATGGAGCCAATAAACATGGAAAGAGTGTACTCGATGGAATAGTCCATGATTGGTCATTGGGCGTGGTACTACCCGGCTGCCTATGCTGAAGTGGAGGATTGTCTTAGGAGGACCTGCCCCGAGCTTTTGATTAAGGATCTAACATACAATCCAGCAGGGCGATATGAGGGCGTCGCATCTCGCTAGATGCCGATGACGGAATAAGTAATTAATATGTGTTCCAGTCCGTAAGGGATCAGTAACCACTCAGAAATGTGCAACATGCAGTGACTTTAGTCAGTGACGATTCACAGCCACCACGACACAATACCGTCATCGACTACTGTGGCTTTTTAAAGGGAGACCGCTTGTCAGGTGAAAACCCCCACTTCGTCGGGAGCCTTCGTTGCTTGTCTGCGGCTACTTATTCGACCGGCCGAGACCCACTTGTCTCACAGCTAACAGCCAAAGGTGTTCACCCTCCTTTCCGCATCTGGAGATGCGCTAGGTAGGTTGCAGCTTTGTCTCCTCAGTGACCAGGAACGGTTGTTGCTGAGGCCCGAGATTTTCGGTAACACCCATCACTGTGTGGTGTGCATCTTTTGAGCCAATTTCCACATCTTCCAAATTTCGTTGACGGAAGTGGTAGATTCCACATTGCTGTTCTGATGAGTATCTGTTGTGTTACAAATTGTTTTATCTATACTCTGCGCTGTGTCATCCATTGAATGATGCATCTAACTGATTGACTGTACTCCCGGTAGTTTATTCACTCACTTGGTGTGTCCACGTTTGACTAATATTCCTGTCAAGATTTTCTGCTTTACTTCATCGTTTGAGCGGTTACATGTGTTTGATACCGTAACTACACGCGAGCCCCAGATCTGTGTTAGTTTTCCATTTATTTGCAATGTTTTCTTCGTTATTGCATTTGCTTCTACTTGCATTCCTTTTTGGGGTATTCAATACAACTTTCCTACCTCTCTATGAATAGATCTTCATCTGTTTTCGGTACATTTCTTACTTTTTGTTAGACTGTCTAGCATACACTATACTCGGGATATGGCTAATGCGTTGAACCGAGCCCTACGCGGGACCTGGCGACACTGTCTTTTGTAGGGAGTCTACTTCGTTGATCCGATGGTCAACCATTCAATGTCTTCTGTCCCTCTCTTCTTCTCAACGATACCGTCACCATCATTCACTCACTTGCGTAGTAGGCTCTTTCGGAAGTTGCAATACTCCCGTCTGCTGTTCACACCGATTTGAAAAATCATCTTTTATCTGTGTGCATCCAACAGTGTTTAGGAACCCTATATGGTTTCTTTTACATAACTCGATCATCGATCATTTACGTGCTTCTGATTATTCGACCTTTTGACTTCGAACTGAACCGCATGTGGTGTGTAAACCGTTGAATCGAAACATGCGGTCCCTTTAAAATGCTGCTCATCATCTAATTTCTAATTGAATGCTCCGTCCTAATTCCTATGCGCATTTTTTTATCCTCCAGCACCAGTTTGTTTTGTATTCGGCACTCCTAAATGACCCACTTTTTTCTGCAGTAGATATCACTTGTCAAGTAGAATGCGCTACACTGGACTTTACTCACCCTACGCATACAGTGCGCTTATCCCGGTTTTAGGAGGCCCGCTTTCCTGTTGTCTCTCTCTGCCTTTCCATAGCAAATTATCCAGTACCGTGGTCTCTCTCTTCGCCTCCTCGTACGTACTCGCCTGGTCCGACTACTTACCGGATACCAAGCTGTTGTATCCACCTTCCTTTGATTCTCGCGTCGTTTTGTACCCAACAAACCAGACTCTTCGAGACTATCTCAGTTGGCGTCAAGTTGATTGTGAGTTTCGCCTTTCCATCACCATTTTGAGCATTTCCAGTCAATGGATATCGTAATCCACCCCTCTAGGCTAAACCACAGATGTGAGCGTGAAATTATCGGGTTTGGTAATTTTCCTAATGATACTCGATTTGCACTCCAACTACTGGTTACTTACTTACTTTCTTTATTACAGTTGTTTTTTCTTTTTTACCAATGGAACGGGATATTGTTTGATAGCCGCCCAGTGACTGCATCCTTCATCTGTCAATCTTCAACTTCCGATTTGTGTCAGACCTGTCCGTCTGACTATTTAGAGCTTTCAGCTATACTTCTCGACCACGTTCTCGCCGTTTTTATTTTTCTGTTGCACATTCTTAGACGTTATTTTTTAGAAGCGGTTCCTTTCCACTGGTCTCTCTTCGGCCGCTGCTACGTTGTCACGCCTGCTACGTTCATAACAGGAACTGCCACATTCTCTGAATGTGAGAAATATTGACCTTCACACGTCTATGTTCGCATTTATAGAGTTCTCAGAGGTAATCGTGAATACGGATCTTAGGTGTAGTGGTTTAGAGGTCTGGCACTGTGCCGTCTGTGCGAGTCAGGCCGCAGGCATGAATTTCGACGCACCTGACTTAATCCAGCCTACGCAAGATCACGTTAACTTGTAAACGAGCATGGCATCGGTACGGCGCACTGCCTTGCTGGCGATACCTCTGTTTGTTACCTGCCTACACTCACATGTTTTCATCAACCTGGTTTGTTTTTTCAATCTTCATCCTTTAGCTCCACTCATCCATTTTCACAGCACTTATTCATATACCTGTAAGTTTTGCTACCCTTCCTTAAGGTCATGTGCGCATTTGTCGTGCCATCCATCATTTGACCTTATCGCCCTAGTAACTCTCAGCTGGAACCACCTAAGTATGTAACGTTCACAAACCACTTATCGATTTTATCTCGGTTCTGCTGCTTTTCCTTAACTACTGATTTATTCTTCCAGACCATCTTTAGACCGGGGTCAGAATGGCGCACACTGCACCTCTGTACTTCAGTTAGGCTACATATGCGCACATGGCGTTCAACTCTGCATGGCTTTGCTTAGTACCCACTGGTACACTAACTCACTTCTGAGCGTTGCGGATCGGTACTGTTGGCAGCGCAGATTGATCTCTTAGCTAGAAAACTCGAATCTTGCAAGGGGTGATTTCACGATCGAACTATCCACTTTCCTGCCACCTTACCTACACCCAGTATATAAGTTTCTGTGAGTATCCATACACACACACACACACACACACAAATCCACCGTGTGGTCTAAAATACGCGCTCCGTTGGGTGCTTGTACACCTGTTCACGTGTATCTCAGTACTGATACAGTGTCGAGTTCGTAACGCTTACTGTTCGTGCGCTATGCATATGGGTCCTATTCCTTTAGATTCACGTTGAATAGGGAGTACATGGGTTTAATTGCCGTCGATGGAACACGGCTTTTTGTAGTCACTATAACAAGTTCCTGTGAAAATTAGTATTGCCGATTTTCATACCTCTCCGGTGATATTGAGTGGAGTTCTCCTAAGGTGCATTCAGTCATTCACGAATATGCCACTATTTTGCAACTAGTCCTTCGGTTTGAGTGCTTGATCGTTTTTTTTACTTAAATATCCGTCCAGCAACCCGGACATTTGCCTCCCTCCCACCGTATTTTACACGACTGGTTTGGTTGCCACGTAAAACATAACTAAAATCCGCCATAGCTCATCTCTTATTGTTTAATCTTCCAACCTCACGCTCGCCATTTTCCTGAAGACCTTTGTTACTTAACGGCTTCCAACAGCAATTTTGTCATCCCTTCATGTACTCTGATAACTATTCCTTTCTCCACGATGTGAAGAGTTGGCTGGTGGCCGATTGTTCTAAGACGTCCGTCTTGTACTCCAGAGCTCACTGGCTCGAGTCTTCTTAGATACGGGGTATCTTACAGTACCCCAAGCCTGCGCGCAACTGGTAGCTGTCACGTGTTAGCCGAGCGTTAGCACAACGCACCACTGTACTACTGATGCCTTCGTCTTCTTTCTAAATATTGAGCTTATAGAGTGTAGATATTCCTTTGTGTCGCTCCATGAAAGTTGGATGGAGCGCGGAATTACGTTACTCATTCCTGAGCATTTTCAACTTGTTACAGTTTTACATCATCCTACTTAGGTGCGATGCGTTTTTGATATCTGTAATCCTCAAAGATTGCGTCTAGGAATTTTGGATTTTCGATACCTATTTTGCCGCAGCAGAACTGGCACATAGTTACACCAATCGACGCCCAAAGCATAGAGGGTGAACTATCCTCTTCATATTCGTTACTACAACCTTGTACCGGTGCTCACGAATGCTGCTTGGTGCGCGCACGTGCAGAAACGGTCTCACCATAAGTAAGAGTCACCCAGATGCAATATCCGGTGCATCACTATGAGGTTCACTAGAAACCGATGGTACAACTGGGTGTACAGCCCTTGTCTGCTGCGTTGGTCTTCGTACGACATACCCCGTAAACTCGGGATGAGATTGGTAGCCCACATGCTGCACACATTCCAGTTTTCTCACCTCGCTACTGGTGATAGAAAAATAGGCGAGTAAGCCGTACTCCAACATTGGTCATATAATGGGAGAAAGGAGGCGAGTGAAAATTTCTTCAGCCCAATTGCAGAAGCTGCGTTGGAGCACTGGAAGCATGCATAGTCCATCTCTGTATAGCCTGTTTTTTTTCGCTGCTTTGCAGTACGCTTCATTATCCTGGTCAGCCGATAGGCATTTTGATTTTCATATGGCCACATGACCAAGAAGCCACATTAGTGTTATTGTTATGAAGTTGGCCGTTATTACGACCCACTTTCCTTTCTAGTGCTTCTGTTTACGTGATTCTGAGACTCCGGCATTTTGGAGACCTCTGGTATAATTTTCCAGGAGGTCTGTCTGGTTGAGTTCATATTCACTATCATCCTTGTTTCCAATTCTAACTGAATGGATGTCGCACTCGCTGAACGGCGCGAGTTTTCTTAGCTCTTCGTCGTCATCCCTCCATCCCTTACTAATAAACCGTAATGGCAGTCGCATCGATCGAGCTGCTTACATTTCGTCGTCTAACTGTGGAACACTTGCAACCGTATGAATAGTAGTTGGAAAGCGGTGAACTGTGAGCCAAACACTCTGTTGACTGGTCTACAACTGCTGCATACAGTGATGGAGTGGGATGAGTGGGAGCTTGTTAGAAGGCTGATAGATATTCCCATCGTTTGGGCGTTTGTAACAACGCTAAATCGTGTGCGTGAGTAACGGTGGAAATTTGCGCAACTTTGCAAATCCCAGGATAAGCAAGCTGGGCTGTAATCACTCCTAAGAGCATGCCTTCGACAAAATGTCACAGTAAATCCAAAAACGTGAACGTCCTGTTTTACTGAACCGATCAAAAGACGCGTGCGCACAAGCTCCAAAAACTGTCAATTTTCACCTATTTACGTAGTGAACGATGTTGTGGTCTTTGCTCCTAAACTTATTAGGCAATAGTTGCGCTTAATCTTGAGCTCCATGACCAGTTTCGCGCCTGTTTGGACCCTTCAGGTGGAGATTTCCGAGCTGGGAATAAACCCGGGACATGGGGCTTGCTGGCAGACTCCTTAATGACTACACTGCTATCTTTGACTTGTTTCGTTTCTCACAGTGTCCGAGTACTCATGATATGTTTGTCTGAAGTTATACATTGTGTCAATGAATTGCGACGTGCGATTTTCATTTGGGTTGCATGTTCCTTTGAATTTGGTCTCGATCAGCTTGGTCAATGAAGTTATTCAGGTTTATGAATCAAACTGATATAAACGGGATATAGCAGCGTTTCAACCTTTGTCGCGCACGCCACCCAACTTGGCCGCCTCGCTTTGCATTCACATGTGAAATTGGCTTGCAACCTCTTTGTAGTCGCTGCTGCTTGCCTGTTTTATTACCCGACAAGACTGCCTACAGCCACCCTTTTGCATCCTAGTCTAAACCGTATCGGCGTGGTTCTCACTTCCGGACTGTTTTTCAAAGGCTCCTTTACCAGTTACTTGCCGCTGTCGTCACCAATCAGTCGAGGTCGTATTGGATCACTATTTATCACCTTTTTGTCGGCGGGGGATGTCTACTTCGTTCTGGTTGTGATGGTTTTCACTTAAATTGCATATACCTGAAGCCGTACGTGAGTCTGCGTCAGAGTGCGTCTTGGACATTGAGTTAAGATGATTCCGTGCATCTTTGTACTGTTGCTACAGCCTCACTCTTTAATCTTATGCAGTGGAAATGGAAAGGCGGAAAGCTGAACAGCTTTAAACAATTTCGTTCTGTGCACGTATGCCGCACGATGTGGCTTGGAAGCATCCGCCTCACGCATAAAAATGCTGGCCAGCGTAACATGGCGCCTTAGTTGCACAACTTGAGTCATCGTGTCACTCACGAGATCCTCGTGAAACGCACAGTGCGAGTATTTGCTGGGTAGCACGGTGTACATGCAGGCAAAATTACACCTAGGGATTTGAACAACGAACAACAAGCCACGAGCGATTTGATGTGTGGCTGATCGAAGTCGTGTAATACGCCATTTTTGCCTACTGGTTTCCTATTTTGTCATTTACTTCCACGCACCAATTATCAGGCGTTTATCGATTATCTTTGCATGTCTTATCGGACGTCACATCTGTTGTGCGTTAGTAAATTTCTACCTAGTTCGCACACACGCACATTTGAACGGGTGCTCATGCCTCGGCACACTCACTCCGTTATTTGCACTAAAGACTGATCTGTCGATAGGCCCTTATCTCTGACGTTGGTGAAAATTGATTGCGTTGTGCGCCTAGCACACAATCCAAAATGCTTAGCCGATTGAGTAGGGCTAAACCGCGTCCGCCTCACACACTGCGCATCAATCTCCACTTTTGGTTGCCTAGACCTTCACGTACAGTTGTTGAGCTGAAAATAACTAGTAGTCTGATCCA